AATGTAAACCCAAATGACTATCAGGGAGCCCTTGACAGTTCCATGGAACCGAACTCCTAAATGTCTCTCGAGAATACATTTTTGGCTGGAGTGGCATTTCTCCCGAGTGGCGAAGAGAGTTTAGTTACACTCGAGTGGGTCAACGTGCAGGTGGCATGATCCGAGTGGCTTTATACAACTTGCTGACCATGGCATGACCATGGCACTGAGAGCTAAACTATTTTTTTTAAACTAATCTCTTTTTTATTTTGCCATATAAGACCCACTGAGTTATATTGGTCTTTTTCAGAAACGACCTGGCCACAAATGATAGCTCAACAAAGTGGCTTTTCTTGTGGAAATTTCCAGCAGCCAAATACTCTGCGCACTTGTTTTTAAACGTGGAGGGGAAAACCGGAGGACCCGGAGACAAATCCACACGACCACTGGGAGAGAGAGATGCAAACCTTAAACACAGGCGCAATGGTCGGGATCGAACCCACGACCTCCTGTACTCCATGCGAGGTGGTTAACATCTCACCACCGCCACGCCCCTGACCATGGCACTGACCATCGCGTCCTTGCCGCCGGGGTTCTTTAATCGGGTGTGGGGAGGTGCCGGGGTCGGGGCGGCGTGGGGAACTGCGGCGTGGGGCACGCGGAACGGTGGTCCGCCCCCCGGAGGTTGTCTTGGTTTTGCTTGGAGTGGCGTCAGTCTTCGCTGCCCGCCCGGGGAAGAGTCGCGGGGCACTTCTGAAGTGGCCCTGCCGATTGGTCGTGAGGTTTAGAGAGAGGCCCTTGCTGTCTGTGCCCAGAGCCTGTGGTTTTTTTAAACTTTTTTTACTCGTTTGGAGCTGTGCGAGTGGAATTCCAACTCGCTGTGTGTGTGGTGGTGGGGGGTGGGGGGAAATCTCTACATATGGTGCATATTAGATTTGTAAATAAATCAGAATTTGTATTCTTATGTAACGATTTTCCTCCTGCCTATTTTTGCAATTCATTGTCACACTTTGGGGGTCATGATGAGCATTCAGGAATTAATTCCTTTTTTATTAATATCATCATAATTTTAATGGTGCATTGCAGCACCTCTGGTGGCTGTCAGAAGCCACGTGACGTAATCAGATAGAGCGGTGCCTCTCACCATTTTTAGTTCCACGGCACACTTTCGGGCTCGCTCGATCTACGCGGCACACCGAACCAAAAAAATTCAGTTGGGCAGAGGGCCGGGGGTGTTTGATGGCTGTCTCTGCCATACTGCGCCGCAACCTGTGGAGAGTGGAAGGTGGGAGCTGGGGGAGCTGGGAGCTGGGGGAGCTGGGAGCTGGGGGAGCTGGGAGCTGGGGGAGCTGGGAGCTGGGGCAGCTGGGGGCTGGGAGCTGGGGGAGCTGGGAGCTGGGGGAGCTGGGGGCTGGGAGCTGGGGGAGCTGGGAGAGCTGGGGGAGCTGGGGGAGCTGGGAGCTGGGGGAGCTGGGAGCTGGGGGAGCTGGGAGAGCTGGGAGCTGGAGGAGCTGGGGGAGCTGGGGGCTGGGAGCTGGGGGAGCTGGGAGCTGGGGGAGCTGGGGGAGCTGGGGGAGCTGGGAGCTGGGGGAGCTGGGGGAGCTGGGAGCTGGGGGAGCTGGGAGCTGGGGGAGCTGGGAGCTGGGGGAGCTGGGAGCTGGGGGAGCTGGGGGCGCTGGGAGAGCTGGAGGTGGGGGAGCCGGGAGCTGGTGGAGCTGGGAGCTGGTGGAGCTGGGAGCTGGTGGAGCTGGGGGAGCTGGGAGCTGGGAGCTGGGAGAGCTGGGGGAGCTGGTGGAGCTGGGAGCTGGGGCAGCTGGGAGCTCGGAGCTGGGGGAGCTGGGGGAGTTAGGAGCTGGGTGAGCTGGGAGCTGGGGGCTGGAAGCTGGGAGCTGGGGGAGCTGGGGGAGCTGGGGGAGCTGGGGGAGCTGGGAGCTGGGGGCTGGCAGCTGGCGGAGCTGGGAGCTGGGGGAGCTGGTGGAGCTGGGAGCTGGGGGAGCTGGGGGAGTTAGGGGAGCTGGGAGCTGGGGGAGCTGGGAGCTGGGAGCTGGGGGCTGGGAGCTGGGGCAGCTGCGAGCTGGGAACGGGAGGAGCTGGGAGCTGGGGGAGTTAGGGGAGCCGGGAGCTGGTGGAGCTGGGAGCTGGGGGAGCTGGTGGAGCTGGGACCTGGGGGAGCTGGGAGCTGGGGGAGCTGGGAGAGCTGGTGGAGCTGGGAGCTGGGGACTGGGAGCTGGGGAGCTGGGAGCTGGGGGCTGGGAGCTGGATCGGCCACTGAACTGCAAGGAGAGTTCGCCCGTCCCGGCTCGCGAACAATTAGGTTCTTTCCTTTCCTATCATTTCTCAAAATATCACGGCACATCGGGGACTCTTGCCGCACCACACCAGTGTGCCGATCGCGGGACACCAGTTTGCGAGGCACTGAGATCGAACATCCAATAGAAGGAAGATAATCGATCCTTGCGCACATGATTCTATGCTTGTATCGTATGAGAATTGGTTTTAATCGATACATAGTTACAACCCTAGTGCCTATGTGGTTGTATGTAGTTTAAAACGCGATCTGCATTTTTATGTCAAATGATACTGCAGTCAATTTGTTGACGCGTGCCTTGGCTATTGATTGCACCTTCCATCAGAATGTCTCGTATCGCATTACCGCGGCGCCGTCTATTAAACCGCACAGTGCCCCGAACGTCAAATGCGTTTAAAACACACAGGAGTGGGATGAGGATGGGCGTCTCCCACGGGGCTCATAATGGCCGGGTCTTGAGCACTGAGTCAGCACCGCTGAGATCAGGGGTCAAGTCCAGGTCAACCTCCAAATATCAAACCCGGGTTCCTTGAACATAAACAGTATGAAAAATATTTGTACGTATGTATATAGGAGATCAGGATTGGCTGGACCTCTGAGGAGAAATAAATTGGCTCGTTGCTCTGGGGAAATGAGACTCGAAGTAAACAAGCCGCGCATCTCCACAGCTGAAGAGCGCCAAGTCACATGGCGACGTACGGTCCACACTTGAAGAAGTTTGGGTGAGCGGTGTGGCATCGTTGGCCATGCTGTGAGAACCAACGTGGATACGTGTGATCCTGAGCATGCCCCCGGGAGACACGGCCATTGGCATTGAACCCTAAGGGCCCTTAATGTGCCTCAGGCTTTCTGACCCTCAGACGGTAACATTGAACCCTATGAATCCTGAATTCTCATGAGTATGCCTCCGCCTGCGCCAATATGTTGGTCGTCACCCGTATATATATACACAGTGCGTGACGACGAAGCGTTCAAATAGAGCACGGACGAACGTACGGCGAACCATCGTAATCGTAGCAGTAGCGATATCTGGTGCGCTTTTGCGACGCCGTGCGTGCCGCCGATAGGCGCGGCTCGTTGACAGCGGCGAATTTAAGCAGAGAGTCGGGAGGGCATCGCTCGCCGCCGCGCGCCCGCCGGCACGCAGAGCGTCGACCTCGCAGGTAACGAAAACAAGGCCCGCGTTTTTTTTTAACTCCCCCCTCCCCTGCAACGCAAATATGGAGTTGCCGTGAAGTCATGTGGAGGCTGTTTTTGCTCAGCCCTGAGGCAGAGTTGAGCTTGTGGCTTTCCGCACACTCCGCTGGCATCTTGCAGCGCAAAGCTAGCGGGATACGGGCCAAATCTGCGTCTCATTAACCGGCCGCTTACTGAAGGGGAAGCGGCTAAGTTTCCTCATTAACATTCTGCGTAGTTTTTTCGTAATCTCCACGCTCTCTGCGCCCCGCATTCCCCGTGGCCAGAGCGCGCCCTCGCTCAGCCCGCAAATTATTGGGGCCCTCTCGGCCTCGCGAGGAGCGGAGCGACACACGATAGTTCAAAGGACCTTATTAACCTTTCGGCTGAAATGCCGTTTCACAACTCGAAGCGTCAGGCTAATTATAAGCCCTCGGAATGTTTAACCGCCGCCGTAATATTCTCAATCAGCCGATCTGTTTAGTTCAATTACGGACCGAGCAGTGCACCTGGGCACTTTGTGAAACCTTTAACGCGACGCAGCTGCCACTGCGCGCCCCGCGTAAACGCGCTCTGTGGGGGGAGCCACGGAGGCAGGCGGTGCAGTTCGCCGATTATATAATTGTTATTAAGGGGTTTAACGACGCGTGGGGTTCATCGATTGACGCTGATTCTTGGGACTCGCGATACGTATTCACGGTCACGTTCCCCACAATCCGTGTCTCTCCCGCCCGTGTAAACTGCGTGCGTACGACGCACGGATGTTACATTTCTGGCGATGCTGCGTACAGTGTATGGCCGTGCAAGGGAGACCGATGAAACAACAACAACAACAACAACAACAACCCCCAATACAAATGTCAAAAATAATACAACAAAGAAACAATCGATTTCTTGAACGGAATCATAGCCCTGAATCGCAGAAAATTGATCGAATTGCCATTGGTGGGGGCAGGGGGGGGCAGTTGAGGGGCAGTGAATTGTTGTCACCGCGCCTCCAGCCCCGGCTTGCAAGAGAGCAAACCTGTCGTCGGTGGAAAGTGAGAAAGGACGCGCGGTGCTCGATTCTCGCGTAGGGTTGGACACGCAAACCCTCCTTTTGCAGATGCAAAAGGAGGGCGGCGCTGGTGTGAAAATCTGTTTGGATCGGTTTCGCGGCCACGCCGAAGGGCGGGATGGAATTTTAATGATGTCTCATTGGCACGATCTAACAGTCCTCTTTGTTTCCCTTGGCCACAATTCGGCCAGGGAGGGGAAGAAAAAAACCACGACGCAATTCACCTTGGCTCTGAGATGATGGTGTTTTAAGAGCTTTCAGGGATACAAAGCTTTGTGAGTCTCTTAAATAAAGGAGCGAAGTAGCTGTTCTTACCGTGCGGTTTCACAGTGTGTAGCTGACAAGCGAAATGCAGACGTACTCTCGCTCTAACATCTCTTTTTTGCCCTCTCCTATCGCTGTATCCCTCTCTCCTGCTCTCTCCCTCTCTTTACGCTCCCCACCACCACCACCACCACCCACCCCCCTGTCCGTTAATAGAGTTGGATCAAGTTGCAAAAACAAGCGGAGGAGAGAGCCGTTTCCCACAGAGCCTCGGAGGAGCCCCGCGGTTTAGCAGAAGCGAAGGCGGCGGCGGCGGCAGCAGCGGCGGTGGCCGCCACCGCCACCACTACCGCCACCGCATCGGAGACGCACATCTCGCAAATCGAGTGCCTTGTGACGCCGCAGTCCGCAGACGCCGTGGAAGCGTCGGGAGTGGCCGAGCCCGCGCCGCTCGGCTGGAAGGAGCCCGGCAGTGCCTTCTACCACGATGCCGATCTCCTCCCCGGCTTCGGGGCACGGGCCTCGCCCCGAGGGGTCCCCTCGCCGGGCGCGTCGCCGTGCGTGGGCCACGGGGACGACGCGATGATGGCCTCGTACCTCGCGGACGGCGGTCTGGCCGACATCGCCGTGGCGGCGTACCGGGCGGGCGATGCCGACGCCCTGCCGGGCATGGATCCCATCGAGTCGCTCGTGGGGCTGCACGACGCCGCGTCGGCCGACGACAAGCTGGATGCGGTGGAGCTGAACGCGGACATCATCAACAACGGCTTCCACAGCAGGGCCTACCGCGAGATGATGTCCGAGTCGCTGGACGAGGAGGACAGCGACTTCGACAGCGACGGCAAGATCGAGCTGAGCCTGCGCAGCATCGAGGACCTGCGCGCCGAAATGGGGCAGTCGAAGAGCTTGGAGCGTGCGGTGGCCGCGGCGTTCCAAAAGCCCGAAAGGGACGTGCAGGACGAGCCCGGGGTCGGGATGGACGGCCCGTTGGCGGAGGGTGGCGGCATTGGCGAGGACGGGCTCGCCATGAAACTCGCGGCAGCATGCGCACCGCCACCCCCACTGCCGGCACCGGCACTGTGCACTGCAGACGATTCTCCGAGAGGTGCGGTGTGCGCCGCTCGCCCGGATGATCGCGTCGCGACGGACGACGTTATTGAGGACGACGGCGGCACCGACGGCGCGACGGTGGCAGAGACCGCCGAGGACGCGGCTGACGAGGACGCGCCCGGGCCGGACGGCGCCACCGGTGCCTCGGCCGCCGGCTTCGCATACGGGAAGTACGCGGAGATGCCGTACGAGGAGGACGACGCGCCGCCAAAGGATGGCCTCACGCCATTCGGCTTCTCGAAGGCGGCGCGCGTGGACGGCCCGCGCTCGTACTCGCTGCTGGGCGAGTCGCAGGTGTCGTCGATGCTGGGCGGGGAGGCCGAGTCGGCCCGGGACACGCGCCGCGCCACATGCAGCGGCTCCCTGCCCAGCGCCAACAGCCCCGCCGTGGGGTCCTCACCGTCGTGGGCGTGCGGCTCGCCGATGGAGAGCCAGCCGTCGGCCTCCGCCACGCAGCTGAGCGCCGAGGCCTCGGAACCGGACCCCCACGACTCGGGCTGCGTGGCCAAGCGGAAGAAGGGCAAACCGCCAAAACTGACGGTGATCGAGACGGAGGCCGGCCGCGATGCGTCCGACAACCGCCCGCTGGAGCCACCCGTGCTGACGCCGGTGCACGAGGTGGACGCGCACCGCAGGAGCAGCGGGCGGTGCCGGGGCGGTGCCGCAGCGGTGGTGGCGGTTGCGGCGCACGGGAAGCCGGCGGCCCTCGACTGCGCCGCCGCCGCCGCTGCCGCCGCCACGGCCTCTTCCGTGGCCGGCGACGACGACGATGAAGACGACGATGATGATGACGACGAGGAGGAAGACGACGAGGAGGACGAGGAGGAGGAAGACGACGCATGGCCCGAGAGCAAGGCATTGAAGCCGAAGCTCAAGCGAATCGGCCACGAGCTGCTGCCATTCAAGCGGAAGGTGGGGAGAAGCACTTTATTGATGGGGATGAAGAACAAAGCGGCGAGGTCCGTCTTCGGTAAGAGCAAAGTGAAGGACCTGCTGCAGGGCACGTTCAGCGGCAGCCACCAACTCTGCAAGCCAAAGAGAGGCCGCCCGCAAACGAAGCACTTAAAAAAGGCCCCCTTGGACGAGAGCGCCGCGTCGGACTGGCCGCCGTCCTCGCCCAAATCCAAAGCGGCACCCGAGCGGGAGGTGATCCTGCAGCCCTACGACACCCTGGCCCTCGGCGGCCCCCTCTACTCCAACACGGCGGGCCTCACGGTGAGGGTCCCCGTCAAGAGGGGCCCCGGCCGGCCCAGGAAGCTGTCCGTGTGCGACGCGGGCACCCCGGCGGCGGCGATGGCGTGCGCCCCGCTGACGGCGGGGTTCAAACTGAAGGCGGCGCCGGCCGACGGGTGTCACAAGAAGGTGGCTCGGCAGAAGGCGGGCGGTGGCCAGGGCGAGGCACTCGGTGAGCTGCTGCACAATCGCACCGTGCTGACAAAAATCAACAAAATGAAAACGCTCAAGAGGAAGAAAATTCTCAATCAGATTCTGTCGAGCTCGGGCAAGGCCAAGAGGGGAAAGTCGAAGGTGCGGTTGGGCGAGGTCAGCAAGAAACCGTGCCCCATCGCCGCCCCAGTCGGCGCCCGGCAGTGCCAGCAGATCCACGTGAGCAAGCGCGGTACCATTTACGTGGGGAAGAAGAGGGGCCGCAAGCCCAAGGCGGATCCGCCGCAGCCGTCCTCCGGCGCCTTCTCTGGCCACAACCTGTTCCAGGCCTCGTACGGCCTCGGCTTTCCCGTTGCCTTTCAGCGCGGGCCATCGGGGCCACCCCCTCCATTGCTCTCGCCCGCCGTCCGCCCACCTCCACCACCGCCCCCGCCGCCGCTGCCGCCGCCGCCGTCAATATCGCAATCTTCAAGTCCCGGCGTGTGCGGCACGGGCGGCAAGGAATACGGCCGCGGCGGTCCCGTGGCGCAGCCGCAGGCCCACCAGCAGCTGCACGTGCAGCGGAGGCCGATCGCCACCAAGGCGATGCTCAAGCAGGGCACGCAGAGCGCCGGCCTCAAGTTCTCACCGCAGCCGGCCTACCCGACGCGCTCGCCGTCGCGCTTCTCCGAAACGATGCCGTCCCCAGCGAGCGAGGAGGCCAGCCCCAGCGACAGCGGCATCGCCACGGACAACACCAGCACGTCAGAGCGCGCCGAGAAGCTTTGCCAGCTCGGCCCGCGGCGCTTCTCGTTCGACCGTGGGTCGGTGGCGTCGTCCTCGGAGGGCGCAGCGCTCATCGCGTCGCCATCATGCCGGCCTGGCTGCCGCTCGGCTGCCCGCAAGCAGCGGCACAAGCGCAAGCGGCGGCTGATGCAGCTGAAGCGCGGCAGGCACCGCGATGCGGACTTCGCCGCCGAGTTGGAAGAGGTCGTCTCGAAGCTCGGCGAGTGCCGCGTGAGCTGCAGGCAGCACCCCCCGCGCGCCGCCAGGGACCTGCTGCCCAGCTTGTTCCGCCTGAACTTTGGCGGGTCGCACGGACAGCTGCCCTGCATGCACGACGCCCTGAGCGGGGGCGGCGGTGGCGTCGGTGGCGGCCCTCGCTCGGCGAGCGAGCACAGGGCCAGGAGCAAGAAGGGCCGGTCGGCGTCCCGGGGACAGAAGTATGGCGAGCAGTCGCAGCTCTCCCCGGGCCCGGGCTACCGGTGCCTGGGCGAGCAGTACCGTTCAACCTTCGGGCTACGCTACGCCCCGTCCACCCTCACCGCCAGCAACCTTAACTTCGGCTACTACGGGCGGTACCCTTCGCAAGCCCATCACTCGTGGGCACCTTCGGCGGCGCCCGTCCACTGCCAGGTGGTCGCAGCGGCGACGGCAACGGCGCCAACGGTGGTGGCGGCCGCGACGGCGGAGGGTGGCGGCCGAAAGCAGCAGAAGGAGCGCGGTTGCTCGGTGGAGTCGGCGGGAGCCGGAGCCTCGCCCCTGTCGCCACGCTGTTGCGGCGGCAAGGCTGGCGCCCAGGCGGTCTCCTTCCAGTGGATGCATCGTGACGAGCGGCTGGCGCAGAAGAAGCGGAGACGACTCCAGGGCAGTGGCGAGTTTGGCGAGCGGCAGCTACACCAGCAGCCGCCGCAACCTCTACAGCAGCAGCAACATCCGCTCAGTCGTGTATCGATGGGCTTAGGGAGCTGGCAGTGGAGGACCCTGGAGCAGAATAAAATTGCAGTCCTGGGCCGGAGAAAGGGCAGCAGCACTTCTGACGTCGAGTTTCTCAGACGGCCGTTTGAGCGGAGCCCGTCATTCTTTGGCGGTGCGGTGGACGCGCCGTCCATCGGCGAATGTGTGCGCAAGTACACAGCCACCACCGCCGCCAGTGTAGGAGGAGGAGGAACGGTGAGCCGCAGAGACTCTCATGGCAAATACGAGAACCTGTTTGCGAGCGCCCTGCAGAGCAGCGCGCGGGCTGAACCGCCCGGCCTGGGGTTCGGTGCCAAGGAGCAACAGGAGGAGCAGGAGGAGCGGGAGGAGCGGGAAGAGGATGAGGAGGTTGACGAGCATGAGGAGGAGGAGGAAGAGGAGGAAGAAGAGGAGGAAGAAGGGGAGGAGGAGGTGAGAGCGGTAATCGGAAAGGACGGCGTGGCGCGGGTACCACCATGGGGCCGTGGAGCATCACCCAGGAGAGACTGGAGGCAGTGGAGCCGGTGCTGTCGAGCCGGCCAAGACGCGACCACAGGTGAGGGACACTCCACGGCATGACGCCATCTCCAGGTTTATGCTTCTGTACATTCGTAACGGCTTCTGTATGGGGGCGCTGTGGTTTTCGCCACTGCGCTTGCAATGCGGAGGTCGCTGGTTCAGTTCGACGTGCTGATCAGATTCAGCCGGGTGGTTTGGTGGTTCGAGCGAGCAACTCACGGGCTTCAAGTTCTCCAGGTTTGCTAAAAACGAGTACGGCATTGCGGGGAGGTCGACAGTAGTTGTCCGATGGAAAGTCTCGTCTTCAAGCTCCAAGCTGTAAACGGGAGATGAGGGCCTCCTCATGCTCTCGTTGACGTGACAAAACCACTCTTTGTCAGTTGTTCTTACATTATTCAAAACTCTCCGCGGTAGTGACACCAGTACTACCGCCAGTGTCTTTGATTTAAGGTTTGCTGGCGTCACTGTCAACTGCGGTTGCCCACTGACACTTGAACTGTACTGTGGATCAAGTTCGCCTCCTCGCTCGGCGGGGCGGTAACGCACGCTTTCGGCCGTCGACCGTGCAGCTGTGCAGAGCGGTTCCTTGTCCTGGCGTGGGAAATCGGCCGACGCCAAGACCCGATGGCAAGGGCTCTCCCGAGGAACCCCCCGGTGTTGAGCGGTCATGCGGGGGGGCGAGAGTGGGCGATGTTCTGTGCCACCCAGGCCTCAAGGGACAACCGCTGGATGGTTCAGCCCTCCCCATCCTCCAGCCCCGGCGTAACAACCTGGTCACCCACCACAGGGGCACAGCCACACTTCGAAAGCCGGCGGCGCCCTTCTTGGGAATGCTTCCTGGTTCTTGGTTCGGTTACTGATTGCATCCGTGACCCGGTACTGAACCTGCCACCGATCATGTGCTACTGTGCGCAGAGCCTCTGTTCGGTAACGAAATCGGATCATCGATTGGCGTTTGTGGAAGAAAAGCGAAAAAATGCACATTCAAACTTACCATGCATTTGTCCAAAGGTTAGTGACGGTGACCCGTGGCCATGTATAACCACTTTGGGGGGGTGTCTGGACACCCGCGACGGAGCCCCTCCCCCCACCACCCCCCTGTGTCGCTCGATAACCCCGCCGTAGCGACACAGGTGGTGTCGCGCCTGTTAGGTGCCGTTCGCCGATTGACACCGATTTGGTTGGCGGTGTGTGGGGGGAGGGGTGGGGGGTGACGTATTTTTTTTTACCGCGGGCAGCGTGCCAAATTGATGTCGCTCCCCAGTAAATACGCGGGAGACTTTTTTTTTTAATCTGCACGCGGTCACTGTTATTCGCAGTGGGGGCCCCGGGGTCCCCCGCGAGCGAGCGGAGTAAACTGCCGCGGCGGTATTGCTGCGGGATGCGATGGTTTATGACACGCTTCCAAAGTGGAATTGATGGTGCGACAAGGGTACGCGTTCTTTCATGAATCAACTTGACTCCCGGCGAAATCAGGGTGCGGGGGGGGGGGCACAAAAGACGATGTGGCCTGGCGGTGGCCAGGGGGGGGGGTGGTGGGGGTTGTGTTTTGTATCTTTTTTTTTGTTTCGCACGGAACCGGCCGCACGTTTGTGTTTGTGAGACGCCCCCCCCCCCCATTGTACCGTGGGCCTTGGCGCAGGCTGAACAATGACAATGCAGCCCTCGTAGCGGTAATTCAGTGTTTTGTGGCCACCACCTCTATGGGTCGGGCGAGGTTTGTTCCTTCGCAGTGAAAACGTGGACATGCCCCGCCGCCGATAAAACCGCAGCAAGCGATAAGAGATTAGGGCCAATAATCTGCTCTGCGCCCAATTTGTTTCTTCTCACCCAGTTAATAAACTCTGGCAGCTGCGTTTATGGGGGCGCATGTCCTTGGGAGGTCCCTGTAAGGTAGGAGAGGGATTTTCCTGCAGATTAGAGCGGATCTGTCGGGTTTTTTTTGCCTTTTGTTGGTCCGTGCAACAAGCCGCACCCTGACAGGCAGCGTTTATTCGTGAGAGATGAGAGGGCTGCTGCTGTCGCTGTCGTCTCTGACGTGTTTATTGGAGGGATCGTGTGGGGGGAAAATGTCTAATAATGGAAAGGTACACTCTGGCGTTACTATTATTGGCGTCGATTATTTTTTTTCATTTAAATAAAAAAATGTCTGACGCACGCAATTTTTTAAAAGATATTTCTTTGCTCAAGTGCTCTCATGCGGCTGTTTCCGCTAAGCATTATGAAGAGACACGTTCAGTTCTTTCGCAGCTGCAGAGCTCGTGAATGCAGAATAGCGATCGCTGCGCCTTGAAAAAGCAGTTTGAAAAAAGCAGCTGATAAATTTACACGGCTAGACGGCAGCTGCAAAAACAAGAAAGTCGCGGCGCAGGGCGACTTGGGGAAAGAAAAAAAAGACCCCGCATTTTATTCATTTGGCTGCGTCCTTTGTTGCAAATAAAGCTAGACACCTCGAGGGTCCGTGAGGGGGGAAGGAAAACCGATTGGCCGTCCCCCCTCGCGGCCATGAATTTCTTAAGATTTCGCCGTCCAAGTCGCGACTTGGCGAGCAGATGGACTCCGTGAGAGGGCAGCCGGACGGCTCTTAGCAGAGCGGACGAGCGAGCGAGGCGGAGGGCGCGCGAGCCAGCGTCGCTCGCCGGTGATGGGGATCACACAACAAGAGGTTCTCCTTGGGTCACGTCAAACTAGATCAGAATCAGAATCTTTATTTAGACTGGAGGAAGAATCCTATGAGCTATGAAGGTCTTTTTTTTCCATAGATGCCCGGTAGGGGCACGGGGTCAGCAACATTTACAATAACAGATAATACAAAAAACGGTCCGAGTGCGTAAAAGGTAGTGAAAGTAACTAGAAATAAATATGTATTACGTATATAAGTACATAAATTACTGCCGATATTTCAGCGCCAAATGCACGCTTGGGCTAGGCATCACAACAACAGCAACAAAAACAGTCCCACGCCACACCAAGATAGCACACAGTCCCACAATAAAATTGCGCATTAACATTTAACACAGGTAAAGATCAAAGAGGTTGTATCCAACAACAACTAAAAAGAACTGGGGAGGCAAACAAACAGTGCGTTTTGTAAATGTGGATTTGAAAATGAAATTCTCCAGTTACCTTGACATGACCTTGCAGGAGAATGTCGAATTGACAGCAACCAGTGGGAGCTGATTCGAGCCAGGTGCTGGCTTGAGAAGGAGCTCTTATATGGAAATAGGTTAGGATGATGACGATGGCATTGTTGAGCATGGTGATGGTAATGACGGTAACAATGACCATCATCACGGGTTCAAGGAACGCAAGCAGCATGTCGCATTTTAATGAGGTATTTTTATAAAAATTTGGTGGTATTGTAGGATAAATAAATGTGACGTTGCAAACATCGTTGGCTTGAAGTACGACGGAATTGGCCAAACGTCATGGAAAACGCGGCGGGAGCCTCCCGCAAATGATTCTCGATACCCATTGAGATTTTTTTTATTTTCCCCACGGGTAAATAAAGGTGTATTTTCGTCAGACACAAATGGGCAACACGATTCCACTGCATTTTGTCTGTGAGAAGTGTGCGCCGACGTTGCGACGAATTGATGTGGCTCCCTATGTATGCATGCTGGGGCCCTCGGGGACTGAACTATTGGCCGTTGTCAAAAGCAACCCAGAGCGACCAATCGTCAGAACCGCATCCAACGGATGAATGAAGTGGGCCGAACGAAGGGACTGATTGGCGAAGAGATACATTTGAGGGAGCGAATAAATTATGGAGAAAAGTGAGCAACCGAGGGAATGAATGAGCGAGTGAATAACCGTCGGAGCAATTGAACGATTGAGCAAGCGAAGTGAGCAAATGTAAGGTAGGAAATTAATTGACTTAGGAAAGGGTGAATTTGTGAGCGAATGAAAGCTGGAATGAGGTAGGACATTAATAAATTAGTGAATGAAAGAGGGCACTTATAAATAAATTAGAGGAGCAAATGAATGAGGGAGTGAGTGAACGAGTGAGCAAACTAATGAACACGAATGAGTAAAAAATGAATGAGCACACAAATTCATGAGGAAATGAATGAATGATGGAGTTCACGAACGAGGAAGCATGCGCGCAAACGACGGAACAAATTAATTCATTAATGGACTAATTAATTCATGAGCAAGAGACCAATGAGCGAGAAAATTAATGAGATAGGGAGCAAGTGAATGAGCGAGTGGATAAGAGAACAGAGTGAGTGAGTGAGTGAATGGGGGGAAGGAGCGAGCGTACTGGTGAGCGAATGATTTGTGCACATGCTCATTTGACCCGCCACTAGATTGCTTGTGGGCGCCGCGTGATTGGTCGTTGTTTATCCCTCTCCTCCTCCTCCTCCTCTCTGGGTCGGTCGGTGACCCAGCTCAGAGAGCGAGCGGTGTGCGTGCTGTCACTGCTAACCACAGATGGAATTTTCCATCGACTCATACGGGAAAGGAATTAAAATTGCCAGGAGCGTGCGACGGCTTGGCTGGAGATCAGCGCTCTTGCCTTCTGATGCCCGCTGGCCCCTGTAGCTGGCCACTACACTGCAGCCCGCACTTTTAAGTCAGGATAATCTAATATTATGTAGCACGTACGTATGCGGTGCGTGGAGAGAGTGAGCATACTGCGTCTGTTTACAACGCGCTTACTGTAGACCATTATCTGCACACTCGCCTATTCGAAGATATGTGATTGTTTACAATAAAGAAGAGCGGTGGAGTGGCAGCCAAAGGAGGGAATTGCGCCTGAGTTTGTGCCCACCATGGAGATGGAGCATTGAAATTAGCAGGAGCCAGCTTGAGGGTTCTTTCGTCCAGCAGTGGATAGACTATTGATGCTGATGATGATGACATATGTAAACAATTCAACTTCTCTTGTCCGTGCTCATGTTGGGTGGTGCTATTGGTAGAGCCTCGTTTTTCCCCCCGCAAAGATTTACTTCTGTTATCCACGCAGCTATTCGCAGGTAGGCGCAGGTGGTAGGATACGTCTGCGGCAAATGCTGGCTCGCTCCTCTCATCTGT